TATAATATATATTAATAAATTAGAATGCTTGAGAATAAAAGGTAATTAGAATCTAGCTAGAAAGGACAGCAGGATTTTATCCAGGAGAGACATGATAATGTCATTGTCACTGTGGGACAAAGCGAAGTTTAGCTGTGACCAAAAGCTGGATGGTGGAGGTGGCCGGGAGATGATTCAAAGGCTCCTCTGGCAAAACAGAAATGTGCTATTCCCATGCCAGTGTCTTTCTGTGCTACAGAAATACTTTTTCTTGTGTGGTCCTGAAAAGAATATGTGCATTACATAAACTGACTGTTCTTTTCTGTAATGCAGTAAAATTTCTACAGACAGAGATGTTTACATTGAAATGGATTTCTCCTGTTTTTTGCACTGCCAGGGACCTCCAGGAGCTTGATGACAGCACCCAGCTACCTTTACTCTGTCACTTCTCTGAGACAGCTGAAGGCCTTACCACCATTAGAGCATTCAGGTCAGTAAAACAAATTCGGTGGATTCGGTGGACTTTAATTAGCCATCTCAAAAAGGGAAACGAATTTTGTTTCTGTGTTGCTTTGCCATGCCTCTAACACCTGTGCGTAGTTTCAGGAACACACTAGTTTCCACTGAATTAAAGATTATGATTTTTTAGGATACGTTATTTAAACTCATAAGGTGTCTAGTTTAGCCATGCCTTACTTGGGCAGCAGGCAGCTCTCCTTTGCCAGGCAGGACGAGGCACCCCTCCTTCAGACCTCACTGCCATATCGTTCAAGCTGTGCTATCCAATTGCTTCTAAGTAATTTCTGTATTTATCTCACTCCTTAGGCAGGGAAACATCATTATAGCGTTCTGCAACTGAGAGTCAGCATGTGACCTGAGAGACTTTCCAAGAAAACTACAGCAGAACAGAACTTGGTCTTAATATTGTTATGATTCTATGATTGTAAAACCTAGCCTTGTCAATCAGAACTGAAAAATAAATTCCAGAAGATTCAGAGAATCTCTCCATCTTTCCACGCATTTTTTTCCTCTACTTACTACATGAAATGTAGGCCAAATTCCCCTTATATATTCCCTACATTGTAGGTAGCATGACTCTGTCAAAGTGTCAGCTTGATGTTACTCCCGAGTAAGCATAACTTGCACTTGAAATGTGAATCAGTGCACATCTCACTGCAACACTACTTACACACCTGTTTGATCAGCTTATGACCATCTTAGCAGTTCAAGCTTGCGTTAGGACCTAGGCTATTAGTATAGAGTCCTGCAGTAAGGGCTGTGGCGGGACAAGGAAAAATGTTGTGTGGAACAGGTGTGAGCCAGTGGTCAACAAAAAATGTCTTAACAAGCTTTATCAATGAGAACAATGTATTGAAACACCAAGTCATAATTAAGGCCTGATGCTGATGTATGCTGAGTGCTTCCTGAGCTGTTCAGAGTGGCCTTTCATCACATTATCTCGCGAGAAAGATGAAGGAGCTTGGCACTTCTTGGGAGTGTTTCAACTCTTCTTTACCTCACAAAAAGGCAATGTGAGCTTGGATATCAGAGAGCAAAAGGCAGCCCTAGGAAAGGACTAGGCATCGCAGCCATCACTTGAGTTTTCTGGAATTTCTGAGTCTAATTGCAGCCGTTTCATTTTCCTGTCTGTTCTCCACTGTCAACCAAATCTGAAGTCTCCGGCCATTTTTGTCAGCAAGCACATATTTACTAATAGTCCTGTTAGTCATTCTCTGCAGTCTGAGTTCAGTATGTTCCAAGATAAAATAGAGCAGCTCCTCACATAACTTACCGCAAAGTAGCACAGTTGGATCAGAAAGCAATTTCAGTGACCTTTGCTGTTTGTCATCTGACAGGATAAAAGTTAAAACTGCCCAGAAGATGAGCTGGACGTGGATGAAAAGATACAGATTGAGCATGTCATATTTTCCATTAGGAAAACAGGAGTTCTGCTGCCAGAAAGGCTGAGGAGCAGAATAGTCAGTGCATCTTTGCTCCTCCCCACGTCATTACTATAACCAATTGCTATTTTGGGGAGGTTGCTGGCCATGTTTACAAGCTGTGTAGAGGGAAATAAAGTGTCATTGGGAAAAGAAAGGAAAAAAAAGGTTCTGGCAGAACAGGGTTTACAGGTGCTTTCAGGGCCCTGAGACTTTAAAGTGGAAGACCTTGCCATGACAAAACAGAAAATAAGCTGCAGAATGAAGTTCAACTAGTTTATTCAAGTGAGAGTATTTAGCAGAGAGGAGCATATGACTGTAGGTCATACCTAAAGTGCTGCAAGGAGCCATGAACTCAATTCACTGACACCAAGAGAGATTTTCCTCTCCCGTCCCAAAGTGCACCTCAGCTCTTACGCACTCTGACATCCTCTCACTGGTTTTAAACACGACAAGCATTACATGGGGGAGAGAGAAACAAGTGACAGTGGAGGTAGCACTGCTCATTTTTGTAGTTCAGAAATGATCTATAGCTCATTCTCACTGTAGTTTTCCAAGTTACTTAGGCAATGTGTGACTGGCTGAGAAAACAGCTGAGCAGCTGAAAGGTATTGATATTACTGATCAATTTACAGTCCACATAGTTGAAACCTTAGAGATGTCATTCCTGTTGAAGATGCCTGTAGCTGGTCAGGTAGCTCCTGAAATCAGATTTTAAGCTGAGGTGAGCCCTCTGCTCTTGCTAGTGGCTTGTGAAGAAGCAAGGGGCCACAGCAGGAGAGGACTAGAGGGCAGCAGCAGCTACAGTCCTCAGCTATAAAAGCAGATATGGTCTGGGAAGTAAAACCTGTCCCTAGCACCCTAGCATTGCAGTGTGGGGACAGGCTCTGACTCAAAATCTACTCCAATATAGTTGCTTCTCGAACAAATTCCTCCCCATTGTACGTGTAGCTCTGCCTGGTTAAGGAGAGCCCTGGCAGCAGGTATGGGTATTTAGAGCAGCGTTTTTAACTCACAGTTTGGTGCAAGCAGGGCAAAAAGTTTGAGGGGAGGGAGCGAAGAGTTTTAATGCTTCATCCTTTTGTGTATGAATGTGTAATGTGTTGTAATGTAACAACTTTGCTCTTGGCAGGCATGAAGCCAGATTTAAACAACGTATGCTGGAACTAACGGACACGAACAACATTGCCTACTTATTTCTATCAGCTGCCAACAGATGGCTGGAGGTCAGGACGGTACGTTCAGTTTCATCCCAGCCATGATTTTGAAACCTTGGAAGCAAACAGAGATTTTGCCCGATGCAGAGAAGATAATAACGAGAATTAATCTCGCTATGAGATTATACACACGGTTCCTTAAAATAGATCAAGATTGTTTATGTTAAACCCATGGGATTTTTTCAGCTTTCTTGGCTAGGAGTAAGGAAATACAAGTCTTCCTCATCTTTTGCTGTTGTGATGTCTAGTGTCTGAAGAGAGTGCAAGAACAAACATTTACATAACTTGAAATAAGGCTTTCTCTACTACTGTGTAGCATCTACAGACCTGCTGCAGCAGGAACTACTTTTAAAGCAGAGCATGGATTTTTAGTAGTTTTGTCAACTGTGCCATCGTTCTGTCAGGGCTGTTTTAGGTATCACTGACCTTCTAGGTCCTGAGGTATTTCTCCAGCAACAGGTTAAATCCCACAGCTGTAACTTAAACCCCTCCTTTGCAGCACCCTTACTGCAGCTGTGAGGCCATATTGTTTGTAATTTTACTGTTCAGTGTTACAAAAGATGGCAGAACTAGACTCCAACTGAAAACCAGATGACAGTAGGGCACAATGCAAACACATGCCAGTGAGATGGGCTCCTGGTTTTTATGGGAGCTCTCCAGGGACAGCACATGAGGAACTTTCTTGATCTGCAAGGCAAGAAGAGGCAGGCAAAGTCACTGTGATTCCTTATTCATCTGACACTCAAAAAGCAGTGAATAAACAGAGCAATGACCTATTCTGCTAGACACAAATAGTAACAGGAATGATTAATCCTCACATCGTAGGCTATATCCTCACCTTCTTTTCCTGGTATGCTGGCAGAGTGATGGCAAAGTGTTCCCTTGTGCATGAAGCTTTCGGCTTCCTACAGGATCCAAGATCAAGCTGAACTTGCTTCCAAGTCAAAGACAGATAAATAACAGAACAATAGGCAATCCTGGAATAAGCTGTGGCAATGCCTGTTAATGTCTCCCATTAGTCTTAGGCTTGCTTACATGTGGAATGAATTTCACCCTCATAGCATTAGAAATAATGTGGTCTTGCCGAGGAATAGTTGATTTAGCACTGCCTAATAGCACAAGTGTACTAAGATCACTCAAAAGTTTGTAAGGTTTAATAGCAACTGTGAAGTCCCATCACAGCTGCTGATGGAGACTCAAGGCCAATGTATATCTCTGTAGACGTTAAGCTGGAGTCTGTGATCTGCTCATCAACACTTTGTGCAGACAGATGAACTAGGCAGCCCTTGTTTCAAATCTCAGAAGACAAGATTCCAGGCCAGATATTATCAGACAGGATGGAAAATGCTAACCCTGTAAACGAAAATAAATATAATATGGGGAGCAGTGGGAGAGTGGGAATACCGGTGGTGTCATGAATCAGGCACCCTGACGACTACATGAGACCACATGAGGTGTTCACTTCAAAACTGAAGTACACATCACGAAGATGGATTCAGGCTCCTGCAAAGCTTGTGAGATCTTTCTCACGCAGCCTACACAGCTATTTCTGTAAAGCAAGTAATCACCATGCGCAGAGCTGAGATCCTTCAGGTATCTACCATGGAATCATTCTGAAATTCAAAGTGCTGTGGCAGGAGCAAGCCTTAGTAGCCCATTTGCAGCACCACAACTACACAGCTATCCTGCTTTCAGAGTCCACACTGCCAAGACTCACATGGTGTTTCACTGCAGGCTGTGAGTGTATAGGAGGTTTAGGGATGCCTTCACCATGAGCAGTGTCCCATCACTTGATGTAGACATTGTGTGTCTATCTGCCCACTTGTGCCAATAAAACATGTGCACGAATTTTACAAATTCTACCAAAAGCCTTTATGGACTTTGTGAAGTCACTGATACTTCTCCTTTTCTGGGGAGGCAAACCCATGTTTGAGCAGACCTGAAGGTTTTTTGATTTGTTTTAGTGGTAGCAATTAGGGGTGTCATTGATATGCCAGTTTTATGATTTTATTTTTTTTAATGTGCTCATTAGATTTTTTGATACCTGCTCTTTTTGAGGTGTCCACAATGAGATACTCTAGCCCAAATGGTTTTGCAGAAAATATTGTCCTGTTTCATTTATATTCAAGAAGTTCCTTCAGAGTTCTACATAGGGCACCAAAATCCCTGACCTTTTCCCGGGAAAAGAAAACAGAATTGAAGACTAGGTGTCATTATAGAAATATTCCTCAGTAAAGTGAACCTGCTCTGCAAATAAAGTCATTTTCTTGTTGCTACATTTTAACATTGCCTAGAATCTTTCTCTCCCGCTCTTTCTTGTTCTAGGATTACCTTGGTGCTTGTATAGTTCTGACTGCGGCTGTCACTTCCATCACCGAAGGGCCCAACTCAGGGTTTGTGGGGCTGGGTCTCCTGTATGCTCTGACGGTATGTACCAAGGCAAAGCATTAAGAACTTTCTGACCAACATATTAATTTTATAATATTTTCGAAAATACATATACATGTTTTCTTCCAGCTTTTTTTAATCTTGAAAAAAATCCCCCAATCTTGCAAATAATGGATTCGAGCCAAAGTTGAGAGAGTTCAGGGCAACTTGGACTTGCTTCAGGTTTTACGAGCCAATTAAAAAAACACAACCATTCCCAGGCCCTGTGTGCTCCCAAGCAGAGCAGGAAAATTAAAAATGCGTAAAAGGACCTGCTGTGTAGTCTGTTTTGCACAACACAGTGTTGGTTCTGCCTGTATATGGTAAAACCTGCCAGAAACTACTGTTTCACAGGGTAATCTTTAACCAAAGACCAAATAAAATAATTGCTGAAGAACCAGAAATATCAGTTCTGACTTTGGAGCGACACTACCCAGATGCCCAATATTGTCCGTGCAATTCTGAATATATTTGGGGATTGGGACCTTTGGGGCTGGTAGGCATGGTTCGTCATGACAGGTAGTAGTAGGAAAGCAGAGGAGATGGGGTTAGGAATGACGAGATGTTGGTGGCATGCTAGCCAATTCATTTTGACACTGTTTTTAGCACTGAGCTATTCAAGCTGAATCATGGAGAAGGAACATTATTTTAGTGGACTAGGCTGTAAGAGAGGCTGAGAGTGCATCGTGAGCACAGAGTGAGCACAATCACCACAGAGAATAGAAATATCACTGAATTAACCATGGGAGTGGGGACAAAAGCAGGATGAGGATGGCAGCAGGAAAAACTTTTCAAATCATGGATGGCTCTGCAGAAGTCCAAGCACTTTGTGGTATTGGTATGAGAGAGGGATACGAGTAGGGGTCTAACACTGAGATTTGGCTTTGCATGTAAATGCTGGTAAGCCCATGGTTACAACGTAAAGCTCTTGGCCGCTGCCTTAGAGTGGCCTTAGATCCCCTTCATGCTGCTGTTGCAGCAGTGTGAGAATCTGCCAGCAACTGAGAATCAGTCCCAGTGCTTCAACTTCACTCTAAAAACATTCCTGGTAATCCTGCTTCATTAGCAGAGATCTGGAAGCGCCAGGATGTCTGCATCATCTTTGGCCTCTATGTATTTAGTTTGTGTTTTCAAACAGATCATTAGCGTAAATCAGCCATGCGCTCAAGCCTGGCATAGCAGAGGAGAAACATGCTGTAGTCACCAAGTGACTACCTGTCTCTCTCCTGCCCTACAATAACACTGATTAAATTTTGAACACAGTTGGTTCATTACCTGTGTCCGCCAGCTCAGGGTTTTATATAATTTCTCTGGGGAGCTAAGAGGGGGCTCATGTTTGGACCCAGATGAGAGCAAAGTGTTTGTCCCAACATTGTGTTTACAGTAGACATCCGTAAGTTTATTCTCTCCCCTTGTATAAAGGCTGCCAACTCCCTTGCAAAACTGTGACAAAGGTTGAAATTATGGGCAGAGCCTTTTGAATGCCAGGCTCTGTTATCAAATCTGCCAGATCCACGATTGTGGTCTGCTACTCCGCAAGCAGCAGTTCTGCAGCGTTTAGCTTATCTGCAAATGTAGCTCTTTCCATAACCTCCCGACTCAAAAGCTGGGCACTGAGTGAGCAGGTTTCTGAACAACAAAGAAAATAATACCCCCTCAGAAAAGGATAAAGTGAGCAACTATATCCTCTAAATTGACAACAAACCATCTTGCTGAATCTCAGTGAAAATTATATACTGTACGCCTATTGCACCAGTATTAGGCTGGTGGAAAAGAAGTGGGGCTAGGTGATTTGGCAGATTCAGCAGTCTCCCACAAATCTGAATGTTTGTGTTTAGGATGTTTTCACAGTGTTAAGTTTCTAAACCTTTATTCAATTGTGTAAAATATCTCATTTTTTAAAGGTGCTTAGCAATCAACTGTTCCTAACAAGATCAGGTTTTCTTTTTTTATTATGAACACCTAAATACAGACTTGGGAATGTTTAGAAAATATTTAGGAAATTGTTTCACAATTTTCAGCCTTAAATAGTCGGTCCTGCCTAGAGATCAGTTTGTCTAAGCAATAGAGTATAATTAGACAAGTAATTATCAACCATTATCCACTACAAGTAATACCTTTACTATTGATCAAATTCTTTTCATTACAAATGACAATAAAAACCGAGAAGGAAATACCACTGAGCTGATAATACTTTTTTTTCTCATACATTTATAGGCTCAGAACATCACATTTTCCACAGAGATAAATGAATTATCTAAATATGCTCAAACAGAAACAGAAATTAAATGCCCACTAAATCTTTTCAATATGTTTGCAAATAGTGAACTTTATTAATCCTTAGCTGCAGTCTTTGAAAGATTAGAAAATGTATTCCCAAACAGTGCTTCCAATTTTGATTTTTTTTTCTGTGTTTGTGTGGTTGAAGATGCCTTTCAGTACTGATTACTAGATGCTGAGAACAAGAGACTCCCTTAATCAGTCATGTCTTCAGACTGTAGGTATAACTGTTCCATAGCTCTCCTTCAAAAACCAGGGATGAGAACACTGAGAACTAAATTACTATCTTAGGGTTTTACATGCTGGAGTACAACTGACTTATTACATATTCGATGCTGTTGCACTGAGTCCTGAACTGTTGCAAGGTCAATGAGACACCCACAGGTCAAAGGTTTTTACAATTTTATCCCACCTTTATTCACTAACAGGCAGATGAACAGACAAAAGGCTGAACTCTGTCCTTGTATTTTTTGTGATGCAGATAACCAACTATTTGAACTGGGTTGTGAGGAATCTGGCTGATCTGGAGGTGCAGATGGGTGCAGTAAAAAAAGTACACAGCTTCCTGAACATGGAGTCGGAGAACTATGATGGCTACTTGGGTATTGCACTCTAATCTTGCTGGTTTTTCATGTGGTAATATGAAAGCATGGTAGACTTGGTCCTGCAAAATGTATGTCTTTGGTTAAAATCTGTTCTAGGAATTTCCACTGATCTCAGTGACAAAGATAGCCAAAAGCTATGAGATGTGTAGCCCATGCTGGTCAGCTTCAAAAAAACGCCTTCCAAATGCCAGGTAGACAGAGCATGGCCCTGTAGTACAATCAGAAAGTATCAGGGCACAGTTATAGATGGGATGAACGAAACATCCACGTAGCTATTTAGAAAACAAAAATACAGATAAAAATTAGATATATGCACCATCAGTCACATGCTTTGAAATCTCTGATCATTGCAGCAAATGGGGAATACAGGACAGGGTCACGTTGGCAATCAGACCTCAGCAACTCTTCCCTCAATTGCACATTGGCGTTCGTACTCCACATATTTCAAATTCACTTTAATTGGTATTTTAGAAGTGCTTGTTGCACTTCAGCAAGACCAAAAAGACTCGCAAGTCAGCAACCTTCCCTGGAAAGCTTATTCCGGAGACAAAACCTCTCTGTGTATTTGCAAATCAGGATGAAACACGAGCTGTGATAATGTCAACAGCTTGTGTTTTATGGCAGCAACAACATCTCCCCTTGCACTGCCCTTCCTGTGCCAGACCAAAGAGCGTGTTAACACTGTGCTGACACTACCTTCTTCTCTGCTTGTTTGGCTTCTCCCCCTTCAATTGCCAAGAGCCACTTTAGCACCTGCCCTCTCTTCTTTTGCGTCAAGATCTGGAACCTAATGTGCCTGCCAGGCAGTTCCCAGCTCCCCTTTGGAAGGGAACTGGGACTCCCATTTCTTGAGTGGCTTCAGGAAGGTGCCTGAAGAGGAGAGAGGGGTAAAGGGGGATGTCGTAAAGGGTGACCCTCTGACAGCATTTGTTTTGGTTTGTTTTTCTGTAACTGTTTCAGATCCCTCTCAAGTCCCCAAAGACTGGCCCCAGGAGGGGGAAATCAAGATTGAAAATCTGTGTGTTCGATATGAAAACAACTTGAAGCCTGTTCTTAAGCACGTTAAGGCATATATCAAACCAGGACAAAAGGTATTGTGTCGAGCCTATTGTCCTTATTCTGGAGCAGATCCTTTCTTATTGTGTTTTGTTTTCTAAGTTGGCAGAAGAGCAAAAACAACAATTTACAGAGACAGCTATAAACACTGATGGTCCTCTCTGAGGTCCTTGGGCACGAATCAAGAAACACATCTTTTTCTGGGCTGGAATTAGTTTTCCTTCTGAAAGTCCCACTTCTTTCTAAGTCCATCTCCCTTGCATAGAGTGAATTTAGATGGCCAGATAAGATTAGATGAACACCAGACTGGACCTGAGCCTCTCCCATTGCAGCATATAGCGTCACTGGAGTCCAGGTCAAAATGCTGATGTTTCAAAAATGTTCGTGGGACAAGTCCTCATCTGAGAGGCAGAAGGTGGAGTGTTCTTGCTGTGCTATTTAGTTTTTCCGTTGGCATTTGCCATCAGCCATTAGGAATGACCACTCCACTCACCAGCAGGACAATCCCATCCAGCTTTCCCAAGAGGACTGCAAGTCTGATTTACAGCTTCCCTCTATAAGTGACATCTTGCTTTCTTTCGCAGGTTGGGATCTGTGGTCGTACCGGCAGCGGCAAGTCATCCCTGTCTTTGGCATTCTTCAGGATGGTGGACATATTTGATGGTTAGTTTTCACTGGAGTATGTTGTCATTCCTAATCTGCTCCCCTCTTATTTCTTCAGAAAAAGTGAGGAGACTTTTTGATAGTTTATATCCTGGCTCCCTGGCTCAGAACATACTTGATTAGAATGGGGCTTATTATGCCTGATCCTTCGCAAAGTGTCATATTGTCAGCAGTGCTTGGTTCTTCCAGGAAATATTAGGCACAGATTATACTTCTAATTTTTTTTTTATTTTTTCATTATGCTCTGACAAAAACATATGCCATTTGTGAGGTAGGAAGCCTGAAGACTCTAAATTTTTCCCTGAAGAATAACTGCATTAACTTATGATAGCTTTCAAAATATTAGCAGAATAGAAACTAGAACTCAACAATTCCCTTCCCTTGATATTTATTTTTTATTGTGTTGTTTTTTCCCACAACTACAGCAGAAATTGACTAAAGGTTTGGGAAACATTTTGCTATGTTTTCACTCCTGCAGCATTTCACGCTCCCAGCTAATTGGCATGAACTGGTATGCGGCAGCATGCATCCTGGCATTTATAACACATATACATGCGTACTGTTGCAGGAATATGGAAACCTACTGGAAAGTCATCTTTTTGCTTCAGAGGCTTCCATGTTTCTAATTTAGCCATTGTGCATGGAAAGTTTACTAGGGAAACCCCAGTAAGATGTGGGAGGATAAGTAAATGTGATGCAGCCAACACTTGCTTTTGTTGTGGTTCTGTGCCTATATGTATCTATGGTGATAGATTTCTGACTTATGACCAGGGTTCCTGCATACACAAATAGTGCAGATGAATAATAATTATATTTATGGCCAAGTTTATGTTTCCTTCTACTTTAAGCTTATTTCTCTATCTTTTTGTTGTGTCTTCCTTCTGTACCCCTGACTTTTCCCAATGGAAATGCCTAAGCCTTTTCCAATCAAGCTCTGTTTATTCTTTGTGCACATCACTCTCTTTCACAGCTAGACCCATATTTGGCCTCTATGCCGATCCACTTCTGGGTGGAGTCCCAGCTCTAATAAATGTTATATAACAAGTTCTTGAGTAACTTTACTAGAGCCAAGATTTCATTCATGTTGTCCATCTTAGTTCCTTATGTCTTGGTTATTTCTTTATATTTGTATGTGTTCCATTTTATTCTCCCACTCCTGCTTCTTTATTCTTTATTGTTTCCCTTTTCTTGCCCTCTATTCAAACGGCCTCTCTTCTTCAGTCTTGCTTGGCTGCTTCTCATTACTTTCCTGGTTTCCAAACTCCTCTCTGATGTATTTTTTCCCTTAGGTTTCTTAATCCGCTCTTTTCTTTTCCTTGAGCAGCCTGGCTTCTAAAAAAAATGCATTCACCTATTCCCAAGGCTTGCCATACTAATTTTTCTTTCACTAGCCCATCTCATCTTCTGCTAACTCTCTCTAAAGTCCTCTTTTGTGAAGAAAAGGAATTGTTTAAATTTATGCAACCACCGACCTCTCATGCTGAAATCTTATGACCTGATTCAGACTTTCTGAAAGTCTGAAAATAATTGGACTTTGCACTCTACAGATGAAATATTGGTTCCCCTGACCATCTAATGAAAGGTGACTATTGGTAGGGATTGAGTCTTTGGACTTTGCTGGAATAGGGCCATGCAGAAGAACCTACAAAATGCAGTATCGTGACAACTGGGAATGACAGAAGAGATATACGTGCACAGCTATGAATATCCATGCATTTGCCAGTTCGTGGTTAAATTCTCACTGTTGGAAGAGAGAACTGATGAACTTAATGTTCAATACTTCCCAGGGAGAAGTGCAGCTGCTGAGTGAAGTAATTCAAAGGAAATTGTAGAAGTGAACCTGATGCTGATACGCTTTACCATATTCTCATTTCATTTGCTCTGAGCCATAACCTGGAGGAAGTTTCTGTGTTCAGGGAAGGTCAATGTAGTCCATAGTTCCTGGCTTTTGTTTGAGGACTGAAGGGAAGAGATTCCTTATACCCCTTCTCACCCTCTTCTATTTACAGAGCAGCCAACCAGTTTCTCTTGTACATTTTTGCCATCTCCTTTGCCGGAATATCAGCAGTTACGACACCCAGCACGTCATAAATCAGATTTTCAGATGAGATCCATATGTTCATTGATATGCAGTAGTGACTAGAAAAGGAAAAATCCTCTTAACTTTACCAAATATCCCAGCTGTTGCAGCAACTTCTTGTCAGGGAATGAACTACTAGGTTAAGGCATGATTAATGTGACTGCTTCCAGTAAAATTATGCTGGCAGAACAGTATGTGGCTAATTCACAACCAGATACTGAAATGAAACTGAACTGTCGGAACCAGCATGAATCGTATTAAAATGCCTTGGAGTAAGACACCATTTTTGGTTCTCTGATCTGCCTCTTGTTAAAAAGTTATTGCTACCTCATGCTTTTTAGAGTTCAAAAGATAGTTTTCTCCTGGCCTATAGACTGCAGTACATACATATATTGGGCAAAAGAAATTGTATACAATCTCAAATATCTTCTGCAACTGTTGAAGTCCAGAGGAACAGAGAAAGACACAGGACGTAGCTAATTACGTAAGTTGATCTTGTCCTTGCTCTGTTTGGCTGTAAAGATCAGGCTGCTCCATAATAAATTATCCTTCCAGTGCTATCATCACTCACATAGCATGGAAGCCACCTACTTCCTTTAAGGGAGAGTGAAGGGAAAAAAAAAAGAAATAGAGCAAGGCAACAGTGTCACTAACAAGCTGAGTTCCCTCTGGCTTGCATTGCTACCTACATTCACGTTCCCCGCATTTATATGACAGTGCTGAGAAATCACAGAGGCACCCTGCTTGTCATCTGGAGTCCAGCCCAAACCAGCTGTTTAATCTTTCTGTCTGCTACCTGCAGCTTACGTGCCTTGTGCAATTCCCTCACGTGTCTCCTGCATGTTATTTTAAACAGGGAGGATAGTGATTGACGGAATAGACATCAGCAAATTGCCTCTTCATACTCTCCGCTCCAGACTTTCCATTATTCTCCAGGATCCAATATTGTTCAGCGGCTCCATCCGGTAGGTATATGCCATGACGGGGGGACAAGCAGCATTGTGTGGCGTGTTTGTGACAGGTGCTATGGAACAAGAAGGGATGGAAAAGGAAAGGAACCTTCCTAGCTCAGTCCAATCTATCTGCACATTCTGTCCAAAGGAAGTCAGGTGACACACGGAAAACCAAAATCGTCCTTTGCAGAAGACCTGAATGAACTGTAATTGCAGTAACAAGACTCCTGCTATGGTTTTCTTGCAGCTTTAATTTGGATCCAGAATGCAAGTGCACCGATGATAGACTCTGGGAAGCTTTGGAGATCGCTCAGTTGAAGAACATGGTCAAGTCATTGCCAGGAGGCCTCGGTACGTGTAAATCAAGTGTCTGGGAACATAGGCCAATAACGAAATTACGCATGCATGAGCAGGCATGCTTATAAAGAGATACATAGGATCTTACACTTTGAACTGTCATGTAAGAGTTGACAGGCACCTAGTAAATATGCTGTCTCTATGCTAGAGACAATATTCTTACTACAAAGCTGAAGATCACTCTAGTTCTCTGTAGCACCTCAGTGTGATAATGGGGTGACTAGTCAAGACAGAGTTTAAAAGAGCAGTTTTACCTCTGCTCCTTTAGCAAAATCCAGGTCTGCCAGCAGAGCTGTAACTCTTGTCTAGAACATGGACAGAGCATTTTCCTTATCATTTTGGATCTGGTTCATGAACGAAACTCACATATTTCTTTCCATATTAAGTGTATTTCATATTACTGAGATATTATCCTGCAGCCTACCAGATTTGCTAACCATCTGTGCCAACTATTTGCTTCATGAAATATTGCTCCTTTCCCAAGAAGCTGTGCTCACATTTCTTGGTATCACTCCATTCCAGTGTTCAGTCAAGATTATGCTTACTAGCTTTTACAGGAATTTTGCTTGACCTTGGAATAGTGTACAGGCAGAGCTTTCTCGGTGCCCACTCAAAGCCCCTGAGTCCTGACTCTATGAACATACAGAATTTCAATGGTGTGACATTCAAAGTAACTGGTTTTGTTACAGATGCAATGGTCACAGAAGGAGGAGAGAACTTCAGTGTAGGGCAAAGGCAGCTCTTCTGTCTGGCCCGAGCTTTTGTCCGCAAGAGTAGCATTCTCATCATGGATGAAGCCACAGCATCTATTGACATGGCCACAGTGAGTAAAGCAATTAGCATCATCAATGCATGAACTGACTAGGCATCTTCCCTAATTGTCAGCCTTGAGACCTCTGTAGCAGAAAAAACTGTCAGCTTTTTTGCTTTTATTGTGTGTTTGGTTTCAGCCATTGCGGTTGATGTGTTTTGGGGATTGATGCCTATGGTGAGGGGAAAAAAGACAAAATATTTTAGAAAATCCCTGCTTTCACAGGTGTGGCATTTAATTACTGAGAATCTGGTACGATACTCTTTCTTATATGCTTGAAGAGACATGAATTAAAATGCAAAAGGATAAAGTAACTAAATTAAGCCTTTTTCTTTGACAGGAAAACATTTTGCAGAAGGTTGTGATGACTGCTTTTGCAGACCGCACCGTTGTGACAATAGCAGTAAGTATTGATGCCAGCAAATGCTCTTTCCTCATTCCCCAGGGAGTTAATCTTGCCTTTCACCAGTTAAACATCACTATATAAAATTAAAACCATCAATAAATAAAACTGAAACACAAGGTCAGAATATTCCTAGATACTAGAACAAGTCAAGACACATTCTATCAACCTGCAATTTTGCAGTAAATGCTGTCTTGCTACCAAGTGGGACAAACTAAAACACTTAGATCTGAAGAAACACTTTACAGGGAACTTCAGCATTTACACTGTCTCCAAGAAAATTTGAATAATTTTCTCAGTAACAGATTGAAACTAAATCCATGGATTAAACCACTATTGAAAGTTGTGCCAAAATCTAGATTTGAATTTTATCTCTGAAGTCTGTGCATGTATAGGTTTTACATCCATGGCACGAATTCACAAAAGGAGATGAGATTTCAAAACCTTTTTGGTGTGGTTTCTCAGGCTGGGTTATCTTTTCTCTCTTTCAAATAAAAAATTTGGTTTATGATAAAGGTTTTAAAAATTGGAATCAATGGGAATTGCTCAAAAGTGAATACCTGTTCAACTAAGGGTTTATTATATTTGTTCCTGTTTTCATGCCATTTCTATCCACATGTATGTGCATACAAATACATGCATACTCATGTGCAAACATATGGTGGATATCATTAAGAATAGTTCCACCTTGTGACAGGAGGCATACTCAACAAGCAGATGTTTTATCCATGAGATAAATGTGTGTTTCAGCAGCTGTTCCATTTGCTTTGTCTGGAATCCAGTCCTGCGGTTAGAGATTAGACTTATGCCTCCTGGACTCTGGTTTGAAGTCTGTCAGTGACTAGTTTGTGTCAGGCAAACCACTTAACCTAGCTCATTTGCAATAGGCTGTAAGGTTCTTGGAAGTGTAAATGCTAAAGATGCTAGAAGTAAGTATAGTTCCCTTCAGTCACATGCCATTCAGATTTCAGTATTGTCCTTCTGACTGGAATCCCACTTTTTCTTTTGCTTTGCCTTTCCGAAGTCAGTGTCTGAAGCAAAATAGCACACTTTAATATTTTAGGTTTCCTCAAGGCTTCATTTCCTTCCTCTCTTCATTCATGGCTGATCCTTCCTTCACCCACCTGTTTTTCTTTTCTTTTTTTCCAGCATCGCGTATCTCACATCTTGGACGCCAATATTGTCCTAGTCCTTTCTGAGGGCTTTCTAGTTGAATGTGACTCTGCCTCAAACTTACTCCTCAAAGAGGACGGCCTGTTCACCACTTTGGTGAAGACTCACAAGTAGACTCTCTCAGTCCACACTGTTCACAAGACTTCTGGCTCTTTGGTAGTTATTTTTGCCTCTTTAGTTTCCTTTCGCTCTGCTTCCTTCCTACTGCACAGCTTCTGAGACGACAGTTGTTTATTGTGTGGTTCCTGGCTTGGTTTAATTTCATGACTATTTATGCTAATTTTATTTAAATAAAGCTTAGGCATGCAGCTAACATGGAATCTATCATGTTAAAGGGCCCCACTCCATAAAGTATTTCCTGACCCTCAGCTTATACAGTGAAATGTCCCACTTTTGGTGTTTGTCCTGTCTACACCTGACTGGCTATATTCATACAGCATTGAAATCAAACTCAGCCTGGTTGCATTCCTGTTGCCTATGGAGGTAAACTATTGCCAGTAACACACTCAGAATTCCTTTCAGAGGGTGCTGACTCATTTACAGAACGAGACAGGAGTGCCTCGAGATAGATACAGAGATTGGGGTACAGACACCAAGGAAAGGAGCCACCTGACAGTGCAGGTGAACCCAGGATGCTTCTCGCCCCTATGTCCTAAAGGAGAAGTTGTATTTCAGAGGTGCTGCAGGATTTATTTCAACAGCTCTGCTGTCCATAATGGCAATCAGAGGACCAAAAGTGAAGTTATTGGAGATCTCTTCACATTAAAGAAAGATATAGTACAAGGACCTACTCCAAGTACCACTATAAACAAGGATAGCCTTTCACCAACTTCCATTACGCCCATTAATGAACTGCAGTGAGACTTATCATAATGAAAACTTCTGTATGTTTTTCTGTATGGCAGCATCGGGTTCACACCATCCTGACTGCAGACCTGGTCATCGTCATGAAGCGAGGGAACATTTTAGAATACGATACACCTGAGAACCTACTTTCTCAAGAAGATGGGATCTTTGCTTCATTTGTCCGGGCTGACATGTGAAGAATCATATGATGCATTTTAATAGCTTATTCTTAAACAAATGAAATGCAAATATTTCCTATTCAATGTACCACCACTTTTTTCTTTTCTTTTTTTTTTTTTAAAGCTTCTTTCTTCACACTTCCATCTTCCAAAATAATAAAACCTACTGCAATACATGCATGCCTCAAGGCAATAAAAATGTCACTTCATTCAAAAGCTATTAAACTTCACGCACACATATGCACGCACACATGGAGGCAGAAGTTTTTATTTCCTGGGAATCTGGCATTTTCCTTAGACTTCTTAGTGACTTTATTTTTTTTTATAGGGAGCAAAAGAATGCACTGCTTTTATAAGCTGCATGTGTTATGCTGGCACCCGCAATCAAATCGTGCAGTTTGTCAAGGAAACGAGAGATCCCCAGAAGCATACTGTCCCCAGAGGGGAAAAATTAAAAAAAAACCCAAGAAATCTAAAGCCATAACACTTGGGGCAATCTGCTGCATTCCAAAAGCAAAAACTTTGCTCTTCAAGTTGTAGTGCAGGAGCAGTGAATGAGAGAAAGGAATTTTATCAGAAATAAGGAAATTCTCCCTGTCCTTCACTTTAGTTAGCATGCTAGTGTTGTCACAGTATTATTTTTCAGTGCAGTAATGGCTTATCCCTACAGTCAATTCCAAAATCCTTGTGTTCTGCAGACTTTCTTTAATCAAAGAGGCAAATAATCGTATAATTATGTATCCTTTGATACACTTATAGAGGAATTTTGTACAATATCTTAAGACTTTGTGTTATAATAATCTGAATTTATAAATTTTATATTAGCCAGTATTTTAAACATGTTTACTAAAATACTCTACTTAAAATGGCATGTAATTAGCCAACCACTAATTGTTTTTTATGTTTTTAGTCCTTTACATTATTTTTTAACCTGGGACAACCTTTCTTATCCTTTACACATTTCTGGCATGTCTCTAAATCAGTTCTAGTCCAAGAAGGTAGGACTTTCAAATTATTACTGTATCTTCAAGAATTTAGGTGAATCTAGATACATATTTACATCAAACAGAATTGAAAAATTTGCCTGCACTTGACTAATGCATATAGCTAAATTCTGAACTGCACAGCAGACTGTAAACTTCCAGAAGGAGTTTCACAGACATACTTCCAAAGGCATAGCTTGAGACATCAGCTTCACTAGTAGTACTCAGTGTGGTTCTTATTCATCTATTGTTACAAGATTTAGGAAGAACATGAGGTGTACTTAAAGCTATTTCTAGTGTAATTAAAGGAACAAAAGGCACAATACTTGATAAAGAAAAGAAAAAAGAAAGAGAAAAGCTGAGAAAAGCTATGAAAAGCTGTAAAATTGGGATTTAGTCTGGTACTGCAAAAATGATGCAGTGTTTTATTTTCTTTATTTCCCATCTTAACTATTGAAAATAAAAGCTGTGTGATGCAACTAAACAGAAAACCTCAGTCTTGAGCATTTTATGAGGGGAAGTACTTCTGTGATTTCCCTGTCTACTGCTGTGAAAAGTTTTGCTCTTTTCTGGATTAATTCAGTGTTGACCTTTGTTGTACAAAGAAAACAAAAAAGGAAAAAAATAAACCAGTTATTTACAGTAAAAGCGCATGTTGTTATATAGATTTCAGTGCCAAAAGGCCAAAATAATTCTTGATTTAATTTCATTGTCTTCAGTGAAAAGCTGGTTGGATTTATTGCTGTCAAACTCAGTCAATATGAAGATTAAGTACAAATGACTTTGTTTATCTGTCTATCTTTGATGATGATGTAATCCTTACTTATTTTAAGTGGTGCCCAATAATTTAGTGAAATCTTGGTTCCCACTGTATCAAATGGCTGCTGTGGGCCTGAGATTGTGTCAGGTTATTTTGTAGTATTTAAGAAGAGACAATAATTAGTACCTATTTCCTCTTGTATTTGTCCCAAAGCCGTTACAGGTCTAAGAAGAACCTTCTTTGCTCATCCATCCCTCCAGAGCTGAAGAACTTAACAGTGCTGCTTAAACATGTAGACAAGAAAATATACTGTGGGATAAGAAAAACCTACCAGCATGCTCCATTCATTTTGATGGAGGTGTGCAGGAATATTGACCCTAGCACTGTGTTAGCCATGGTCAAAGCGTTTGATGATCCATTGTAGTATATCTCAGCTGCCCAGCAGGTTTAAAACCACAATTTAATTGCAATTAATCAAGCAATTAATTCTATTCACCATACACAAATCCCAAGAGATACCTAAAGCAAACCTACAGCAACTGCACATCTCCTCACATTACAGCCACTGTGCACACAGTGTTACATACTCACGAAGGGCTTCAGCTGAACTTTGCTTTTTTGTATGTTTTTCTCTAACGCAGGAGGGTGCTCCCAACAGGCACAGAGCTCTTTTGTTACTAAGAGGGGTGCAAAAGGGACAGCATCTTCAAAATAAATTTCTTTAAATTTCAAGCAAAGGTTTTAAATGTGTCCCTTTTAGGAGAAGTTTCTTTAGGCTGTGGCACTTACGTGGCAAAGGGAAACATCAGCCTTGAGATTTTGCTTCTGTGACCTGTCACACTGCCTTTTCTGCCAGTCAGCCCTTATTCTCTTGCCACAGCCTTCTTGGATTTTTTTTCTTCATCGTCTCCTTATATCACACCCTCTTTGAGGCTCCTGCCTGAATGCTCCTTATTCTGCCTGTGGCCTCCCACTCCTTCCTAATTTAGCTCCAAACCCTCTGCCCCATTTCCTCTCTGACACAGCTCTGCACAAACTCTCTCTTCTCTCCTGGCTTTCTCTAGCTTTCTATCATAACACTCCTTCTCTTCATGGGGACATTTACTCTAGTGTCAACATGTTTGGGGCTGGTGGACTTCCTGGTTTTTTTCCAAGCATTAAACTAAGCAACCTTTCACTGTTGTGATGTTATGCTCTAGAATATTAAGTTCTTCCTTTTACAAAGGAGCTGTGCATACAAACACTGGCCACATGTCTTTTAACTATGGATGGAGGAAAATCATCTCTCCGAGATATCCTAAATTATGTTTCTCATCTCATCTCATTTTTTGTTAGCAGTTTCTGTGTCAGAAGAAGCAAAATAGGAGTAAGATCTCTTGTTGCCAATCATAGGATCATGGAATAGTTTTGGCTGGAAGAGATGTTAAAGATCACCTAGTTCCAACTCTCCTGCCATAGGCGGGGGGACCCCCCCCCCGAGACACGCGGGGACACCTCCCACTAGATCTGATTGCTCGAAGCCCCATCCAGCCTGGCCTTGAACGCTGCCAGGGAGGGGGCTTCCACAGCTTCCCTGGGCAGCCTGCTCCAGTGTCTCACCACCCTCACAGAAAAGAATTTCTTCCTAATATCTAATCTAAATCTACCCTCTAAGCCAAAACTTAATTGTGCAGGGAAACACTCTGTAGGGTTTTACGTAGTTCTTGAAGCAGCTCCACAAGGCTGTGCCGTAAGGCAACACTGTTGACAGGTAGCAAGGGGAAGATTTTCACTCCTCAGGATCCAGTGCGTAGAACAGATCTCTCCATCTCTCATGGGTATTCATTTTGCTGGGGATCTACACCAGCACAGTGGATGCTGGGATTCATCTAAGCTGAATTATTTTAACAATGTTTTCCAAGCAATTGCAGCTTGAAAGATTATGAGAAGCTCCTTAAGAATGGCTTTGCCTGAACCACTTGTGTTCTGCTAATTGCTATTTATGCTTCAGGGATTTTGAGAGCATAACAATTATTTGGATTTGACATTTCAAAGAATAAAACAATACAATTACTAAATAGGAAAACTGGGGGGTTTTTTTCACTTGTTTTGTACCCTTTTTGGTTTTTTTAAGGAAATAAATCAAGTCAGTGGCTGTGAGAATTCCTAATTCTGAGCCAAGCGTGTTGATGATTTTCCGTAGCTTCAAACTGGTTTTAGACTAACATTGTTATTTCAAAGAACAGATTATAACTAACTGTTCCTACTTCTTTTGCTTTGTTATGAAGACTTCTTAAAATCATCTGCGTAAGTTTTCTGTTCAACATACAGTATGCTGTCTGTATGTGTGTGTGCTTATACACAGACGTATATATCTGATTTTTTTCTAAAGAAGCATGTGGTGCAAGCAACTCAAGGTTCATTTCCTTTCAGTTCAGAATAAAGTCTTCTAAGAACACAAGTGTGGTTTTTTCAATGTCAGGCAAAGATCCACATCACCTCAGTCAATGAGATGATTCTCCCATTGGAGGTGCCTGTCTCTCACCCACCACCGCAGAATGAGTCCAGGCAATGAGCTTGAACTACGCATCTGCCTTTTTGAAGGCTAACTTTATAGTCTCAGGGAACCTCCGAGAGGTAGAGACAATCAGCAAGATTTTTAGCCATGTATAAACCAAAGAGGACTGATCCACTGACATTTCCTGAAAGGCAGGAAACTTCCGTAGTTTGGGATAGCTCTGATAAGACAGGGGCATAAGCAAGGCAAAGTCTGCAGGAATAGATCATTGCTTTGTTAGGCAAATTGATATACAAAAGAGGCATCTCAAGTGCTTTGAGTTCCAGATTCATTGCAGACCTGAAAAAGCTCTTTATTTGCAAGAGCTTGCCTGTGTTTCCCAACTGTATCATTCCACTGAAAGGACATATTATCAAAAGCTTCTCAAGCATTTGGATGAGCCCCTTTTAGGTTAGTCTAGACACCTCTACTATAAATTAATGCACCTCTACCGAATTCAATTAATACCAACACGAATATATCCCAAAAGTTTTGGCATCTCATTATATGTAAAAGCTCTGTCACCAAAAAGTCATTATATTGAATCATCTTTTCTTAAAATACAGGTGACATCAATTTTGAATGTTGTCACACAGGTCTCTTCAAACATCTTAATAAATGATTTGATTTAATTGTTTCCTTTCTCTTTTCCTTCCTAAAGCAACGGGCTCTAGTGCTTCATTGTGAAATGATGATGATACATTCACATACCGTTCTGATAATATGTCATAAGAAGCTGAAAGAAACCACAGAAGCATTTTACACAACTTCTGCAGATGTTTGTCACAAATGGAGATGATACGTATTTGAAGTAAACAGCTACCTTTATGAAAAGCTGTGGACAAGGGCCATGTTCTCATCACCATGTTTCCATTATCTAGTGACAAAGGTTGGGTATATGTTGCCCT